GGTGACAATGAAGGAAACACCCCTTGCCAATGCTGGATTCAGGTAGGCTCTATGAACATACTGCATAGCCCCATTTTCTGGACAATGAAAGTATTAGGAATAAGACTGACTGGCAGGCTGAGCAGATGACAGAGAGCAAAATAAACCCCCACACAGAGAAACAAGACCAAGGGAGTAGGAACCAGGAGGCTTTTATTGCAAGCTTGTGAATGATCACACCCTGACTTTGGGTCAAGACTCCCAAAGTTGCCAGTTCCCTCCTGACCTTTGCTTTCAAGTTATATATTTTTCAAGTTTCCATAGTAACCACATTATCTCATTTCAAAGAATTTTATAAGAATGTCACACAACTACACAAAGTTTACACTTCCCAGATGCTGTTGACCATCTCTCTGTCCTGGAGCATTTTAGATTAATGTTTACCCTGTTTCCCAAGTTGTTCTAATGATTTGTTCCTATTTCATGACCCTAGTTTTTCTCTAAATGGATTTGTGGCTTGGAAGGTGAAAATTGGAGTTTCTTAAGGCTAGGGATATAGGTCAGTGGCATCAGTACCTGCTTGGCAAGTGCAAGATCCTGAGTTCAATCTCCTATCCAAAAAAAAAAAAAAATCTAAAATGGAGTCTCTTTTGCCCCATCAGAGGCAGGCCAACTTTGAGACCAACCCAGGCAATTTAGCAAGATCCTGTCTCAAAGTAAGAAATAATAAAAGGGCTAAGGTTGTGGCTCATTGCAAAGGCCCTGGGTTCAAGCCCCAGTATAATAACAACAATAAGAAGAAAAAGATGAGTGACCACTTTTTGAGGACCTTGAATTCTAAAGAGATCACTTCATACTTTGTGAGCAGTAGAACAGCCCTGGAAGCTGCTGGAGCTATCCTTCAGGCCAAGGTGAAGCACAATGCATGGGAACCAGAGCCAAGGTGACAGGGCGAGGCCCAAAGGGTTCTTCAGCCCAGGTACAGGTACCTGTACCTCAGGTCAAGCACCTGACAAACACAGAAAGTGTCCCCAAAGTGCACGCTGGCAAGTGACTGAAGCACTGCATTTGTGTTAAGATACAAATAGAGGAGATGGAAAGTTCTCACAACTGTTGAAGATGCCAGAGGTTACAGAGCAATTCCACTAAGATGGGAAGAGAAATATCTGAAAGCTGCTAAGAGCTACATTTGCTGAGGGTGCACCCATCCCCACCCTGTGTTCTCACTGTTGGAGGTACCTGTGGGGAAGCTGAAGAAAAACTGTTCCAAAGTAATCATCTGCTTGTACCTGCAGGTCACACAGTGCAGGTCCTGGGGCTGTGGCCCATGTCTGTGATGCAGCTTAATCACTTTTACTGTTTGCTGCCCTCCCATTATTCTCCCTCTAGCCCTACTTTCCAGTTGCAGAAGATCTTTCCTGTGGCACGTGCCTATAACCTCAGCTCTTGGAAGGCTGAGGTAGAAGGATCGCCACAAGTTTGAGGCTACACAGTGAACTCAAGGCCAGCCTGAACTACACAGTGAAACCCTGTCTCAAAAAAAAAAAAAAAAAAAAAAAACCAGACAAACAAAAATAAGATATAACAAAAATCATGGAATGCTTCAGAGATCTGCATATAACCCGGTGCACAGGTAGGGCTAATTTTTTCTGTGCAGTTCCAGTGTAGCATATGTGAGTGAGCACAAATAAATTGTGCTTAGAACAGCTCAATGACATTCAGAGTTGGACAAGAGTTGATGGGTGTGGGTAGCCCTGTAATGTTTCTGAACCTTTGGGATACTGCTTCTTATTCAATGGAGGAGAAGAAAGAAGTAAAAAAAGAGAGAGGAGGGACTTTAGGAAGGCAAATTACAATGATTAAGAGCTTAGATGATAAGCAAATAAAAGAAATTGCATTAAAAGATTTTGATTGTGTTGTTTAGGAAATAACACTTTGGACTCGGGAGATAGCTCAGGGGTCTAAACGCCTACCTGGCAAGTGCAAGGACTGGGGTTTGATCCCCAGCACTGCATGTCATGCCTCCCCATGCAGAGCAGACTACTGAGACCAGGCATGGTGGCACATGCCTATAAACCCAGGCCTACGGAGATTGAGACAGGATCATCACTATAGTCTGAGCTGCGTAGTAAGACCCTGTAATAAATAAATAAATAAATAAATAAATAA